CTTAATGGAAGGCTGATGGGATAAGGTGTTGAAATTGTGACTGTGGGAAATCACTCTTATCCCCACCAGGCCTGCCTTGGAGTTCCCAGTTCTGAAAAACTCTAATGAGAAAATTTTCAGCATGTTTTTTACAGCATGCAGTCACTTTCTGACAGCCACCTGCACCCCAATATTGTATTCAATATTGATTTTCTCCAGCTACAAGGTGATCCTCTTGTGGAATCAATATGCCTCTTCTTCTCCACTCATTTGATGGATAATCAAGAAAAGCAAAATTACTTGGATAAAAACATAAGGCACATATGATTAGGAAGATAACTCTAGAACAAAAATATTTTTACTGAATTCTCAAACGAAGTAAAGATTCTTTATACATTTATTTCTCAGTTAGAATAGTGATTCTCCATCCTAGTACACCTAAAACAACTCTTTTAATAAACACTGTGTAATGCTTCCCTTAGTATTCTGGAATGAAAACTAGAGATAATGCTATGTTCCTATCCATTTAATTCTTCAAAAAAAATCATGCCCTGAGCATGAAAGATAAGCAAATTTCTAATAAAAACAATATTTATTTCATGTGTGAACACTGGGCCCCAAGTACATTAGGAGACAATGAAGCTGTCAGAGGCTTGCAGTCATTTGTAGAGCCAATATGAATACAATTGTCACAAACGCACACTCACCTGGGTGTATATGTGATGCTCAGAGACTGTGAGTGATGTTGTGTTGACAATGTCGTTTTCCAAAATGGTGACCAAGTCTTGATAAATTCCAAAGAAAATAAGTTCCAGCTGTCCCTCAATTGACCCGGTTATTACAGTCCTAGAAAAATGCATATAAAGCCATGCTAAAAAAAAAAAAAAAAAGTTTATATGTAAATAGAGATACTTCCAGGTTCAGAAACTGTGAACAGATTTGTACTTAAATGAATGTCCATTGGAACCTTCAGAAGTCATGTAAAACATAAGACAGTGCTTTATGCTCTGGGACATTATTCGCAGAATGTCTAGCAGCCCAGGCTCCTGACCATTTAATGCCACAAGTGACCACAATCATTGTGAGAATCATAGTTGCACCCAAAGATTTCAAAAATCCCCCCTAGGAGAAAGTTCTGCCTTTGTTGGTAACCACAGCTTGGCAGTATTTTCTATAGGGTTCCCCCATTGGCCCAGATGATTAAAAGTTGACTCTAGTTGTGAAACCCAAGAAGGATGCACTATAGAAGAGACYCTAAAGCTTATCGAGTAGGTCTCTTCATTTCACCCACATGAGGGGTAAGAAACCTAGTCTTGGACATTCAGTTACTAGGTAATCTAAGAAGAAAATCAGGTTTCCCTTTCCATAGTGTTTTTATTTTTTATTGAAATTAGAAGGATATTTTTAAATGTATCTCTCTCATGCATCAGCTATTTTTAAATGGTTGATTGACTGACAAAATTTCCAGTTTTATCAAGGATATTTGGGCTTGCAAACTTTCACTTCTCCATTAAGCTTCAATGCCCAGTTAGATAATCTCTGGTGTCCACCCACTGGAAGCCTGGATTCCTGCATACAAACAAATCATAAGGAATTRGAAACACTAGAAGAGCACTTAAGATGTGTCTAAAGAAGAATTTCTTGAAACAGAAATTGTGTTCTATGGTTACTGGCTGATTGACCTTCTCCCTGTTCTCCCCACGCTATAGTCACCAGGTTCCCTTTAGGCCCTTGTGAAATGCATGACTGAGATTCCAAAGACTGCTTAAACCATGCACAGTCAGGTCCTCTTCCTCTGACTCAGGACAGCAAAGGACTGGTCCCTTCCCAAGACCTATGGAAGACTTGGCTTTCAACTAAATTACCCTCAACAAGTGGGGTCTAATGGTAAATTGGGTGTTTTTACATTTAATTTAGCAGATCGAATATTATGAAGGGAATATTTGATCGCACAAACTCCGCAATACTCACTGGCTCTCCAAATTAAATCTACAGTCAAATCAATGCTGTTTCAAAGCATCACTTGGAAAAAAATTCTATTTATGAGCCTTGAACGTTTTTAGGAGGTTCAAATGGGTAGAGAGAATAAGCTCATGGTATACAGGGATTATTGGATAAAGCTACATCAAAAAAACGAAATTAGTTGCCTCCTAATCACTTCCTCACCCAGAACTAGTATATCAACACAATCTGCATGTGCAAACTCAATACCGAAGAACTCAGAAGCTAACACAACGTCTCCAGGCTTCCAAGAAAATATCATTAGGTCCTCATACTTAATGCATACTCTCTACTCTCCTCATGACAGAGTTCTTCAGGCCTTCCTTCAAAGACCATTTCCTCTTAATTCTAGACTCACTCTAACAATTTAAACATCCTGTGTCAGAAGCAGCAATTTAGAAAAGAGGTGGTCTGACTGCTCCAGGTAAGCACCATGACAGCAACAAGAAGTAACAACTGACAGTCTAACATGAAAGAAGGAAATGGAAAAGTTATTTTTCAAAGTTGGAGGAAGGCAGAGGAACTATAACTAAATAGCAACCTGAGCCATTTAATGTGGGGACAAAGGGCTTGACTATCCCCAAGAGCATCTGCATAATACAGGACAATTTAGTAATTGATAGGAAAGAGTTAACTTAAAAACAGAAGAAGAGTTAAGTTATGCTCAGCATATTTTGCAGCAAGATTCAATACAACATATAGAACCCTAGAGTGTCAGAGTTCGGAGACCCTTATGACAGCATCTTGTATAATACTTTTCTTTTACAAATAAGGAAACTGAATCTAAAGGGGTGTCAAGGAGACAGGAGCCCAGCCTAGCAGGTACAGTGTTTCTTCCATAGGGACATCTTCCCAATTGAAGCAATCCAGGGGAAGGAAGAGAGATTACATCACATTGAATCGTGTATTGTGTCACTGCTTTTGACACCTCTGTTTTCACTTCCTTGCATTGATTTCACCCCCTTCAAAAGGAGAAGAAACTTGCTCTCTTTATTCACAAAAGAGTGAACTATTGTTCCCTGGTTTGTGATGAGAGAACCTCAGGGTTGACCCTTAATAAAATGGGGACTGAAGGTAAAGTTTGAGTTCCACGTACATCGGCCTACGTCTGTGCAACTCCTGAAGTTTCTCCAAGCTCTCCTATTCTGTCCTCCCACTGGCCCCACACCCAGAATTTGCAGCCAGCCAAAAGAAGTTGCCAGCTTCCAGAAGTTTGGTGCATGCTCAGTTTATTCTTTTTTCTAATTTGATCTCTAATAACATTGAAGAATAAAGAAATGTTCTGATATTTTTCAAATGTAAGTGAACAAGAGCATTACTGAGGTGCTTGTTAAATTGCAAATTCCCCTGGAAATTAGGGTTCAGTGGATGATCTGATGAAAAGAGGCCCTGAACCTGCTTTAGAAAATGTACAGTTTCTGCTTCCCTCCAGACTCATCTCCTGATAACCCCATGTACACTGCTCCTCCACCCAAATGCTTCACACTGTCTCTCTCTGCCATATCTTTATCTCTTTTTTATCCAATGAATTCCTCCCTGGTCCTGAAACAGCTGAGTACACATCTCACATCTCTGCTCTCATTGTTCTCCTGCGTTTCCACACTGTTGAGTGTGTACAGCCAACCATGTGCGCTGATTTTATAGCATATCTTCCCCTGAAGGTAGGGGTACATGGCATGTATATTTCTTATTCCTAGCACTTAACACTCTGCCAAGCACTCTAAAAGTGTTTGTTAAATTATCATCTGCATGTACTAACTTCCTTATTAATAACTATATTTTTATTTACCCCTTGATATAGTAAAGCATTTTCATAGGCTACTTAAAGCATCACTCTCAAATGAGGAGTATCTTCTATAACATGTAAACRTTGAACTAGAAGTATGTTATGGCAGGAAGCTGGGGTTGTAGTTCAGTGGTATAGAGCACTTTCCTAGTACGTGTGAAGCCCTAGGTTCAATTCTCAGTACCACATGTAAATAAATAAAATAAAGGTCCACTGACAACTAAAAAAATGTTTTAAAAAAAATAATGTTATTGCTTACTATAACCCTGGTGCCATTGGAGGGCTCACACTGAATTAGGCCCAAGTAACTCAGAATTTTTGTCACCTAAGGAATACAACAGAGACAACACACAAAGGAGAAATTTTCTAAATAAAGATCAGTTTTTAATAGTTCTGTAGAATTAGTTCTGTTTGACTTCCCAGACATGCCACTTAAAAGTCTTTTGGAAAAGAGATTGGAATTGGCTAGAATTAGTGTAAAATTGATTCATGTCCAATCATGTGTCCCATAATGATGTTTTGGTGAATTATAGAGCACACATATGACTGGGTGCCATAGATTACAGTAGAGCTTAATATTTCCTATCAATCAATTACATCATAGCTATCATAATGGTTCAATATCTGTAGTGCAACACATTTACTCACATGTTGGTGGGTATACTGGTATAAACAAACCTATTGCACTGCCAAGCTTATAAGTGTAGAGCACATATGATTATTAACTGAACATGATACTTCGTAATGAAAATAAATGACTATGTCATTGGCTTATGTTTTTAATATACCATACCGTTTGTCCGTGTTTTAGACTGTACTCCTTCTACTTATAAAAAAATGGTTACTGTAAAWCAGTAGGCTGTGTTACATGAGCAATAGCCTCATACTGTATTTACTGCACCTTTCGATCATATCATTTTCTCTTGTAAACTGGCTATTTCATATATAGATATAGACAGATATATACTTATAAATGTCGTATAATCTCAGTAGGTAGTAGCTTATACCATCTAGGTTCATGAAAATAAGCTCTCTGATGTTCGCACAACAAAATCACCTAACACATTTCTCAGAAAGTATCCCACTCTTAGGTGACACATGACTGGTACATAAAACTTTGTGTGTTTGTTCTAAGATCCCAGAGATCCCCAATATCTTCCACCCAAGATTGTTAGCCACCAAAAAGTGAGTTCACTCCTGAAGTCCACCATCTGTGTGTGTTTGTCCTTTGCAGGTGTGTGCTATGCAGAGTTTGGAGTCCGAGTGCCCAAAACCACAGGATCTGCCTACACCTACAGCTATGTCACTGTTGGTGAATTTGTGGCATTTTTCATTGGCTGGAACCTGATCCTGGAGTACCTGATTGGCACTGCAGCTGGCGCCAGTGCTCTGAGCAGCATGTTTGACTCACTGGCAAACCATACCATCAGTCGCTGGATGGTGAACAGCGTGGGAACCCTCAATGGGCTGGGTGAGAATGCTGTCRCCTCTTTCCCCGACATGCATATTTACTGAGCCAAATCAATGGATTCCTCTTTCAGACTGTAATTTGGCAAAATGTATCAAGAACCTCATCTGCTTCTTTTTGGTTTTGCAAATTCTTCATACTAAGAAAAATTTTCTAACTTTCATGAACACTTTATACAAAAAGATGTTCTTTACAGCCTTATTTTAAAAAGGTTGAGCATCTCTTGTCTGAAATGCTTGAGACCAGAAGTTTTTTGAATTATGGATTTTTTCAGACTTGGGATTATTTGCCAATACTTAATGAGATATCTTGGCAACAGGACCCAAATCTAAGCACAAAATCCATTTATGTTTCATAGATGCCTTATATACATAACCTGAAGATAACTTCATTAAATATTTTTAATATATTCATGCATGAAACAAAGTTTCATGGTGTGATTTTTCCACTTTGGCAAAATTATGTCAGGACTCAAAAAGTTTCAGATTCTTCAGCATTTAAGATTTTGGAATTTTGGATTAGGGAAGCTGAACCTATAATAATCAAAAAATTAGAAAGAGCCTAAATATTCTTTAATGGAGCAAGTAAGTAAGTAAATTGTACATATTATGCACATAACAATTAAAAAGATGATTAGGGAAGCCYGTGGTAATAATATGAAATATATTTTAACATAATGTCATATATAAAGGGATACAAACAGCACCATACATGCACCATGTCAATGACTATATAAAACAAAACAAACTCAGAAAAAAGAACTGGAAAAGCTTCATCAGAATATATTTTTCAGATTTTCATAAGTAAGCAAATTTAAAATAAAATATTTAAAATGGATTCCATTTTAGCAAAACTCAAGGAAGGGTAATAGAGCTGAATGACAGTGAAACACCTAGCATACCACAAGACCTCAGGCTCCATCTGTCACCTGCCACTCACTTTCCATCCTTTCAAAGTTGTGGAAATTAACCTGTAAGCGAGGAAGTCTTGCAGCCTTTCCTCCAAACTCCCAAGGAATGAGTTTGTGGCTATGACAAGTCATTTAAATTCAGTGTCTCTAGCTCAGAAAAACTGACAAAAATGCTGAGCACCGAGATACCATGACAAAATAAAAAGTACGCAGACTGTGCCTGTGCCATATACTGATCTCAGAAAATTTAGGAGTGACATGGCCCAAAATTCAGTCATCCATCTCCTAAATTTTACAGATGAGGTCCAGCACAAGACAACACGCCCAAGGCCACACCACCGGCTGCTGGCCAAAGCACAGCTGAAATTCAGGACCCAAATCTAAGCACAAAATTCATTTATGTTCCATAGATGCCTGCGGCAGCAGTGCCTTTTCTACTCTATAGAGGGCAGGAGTTCACTGACCAATGGGCAACACTAAGCAGGCAGGTCCTGTGTGCTGGTCATTTTCTCTCTACAATTACATCCCCACGAATCGAAAGAAAATTCCTCTTAAATTGTTTTCAGAGACATGCATTTTTTTTCAGTGTATTTTTTTAAATTTGTTATATATGACAGCAGAATGCATTATAATTCATGTTACACATATAGAGCACAATTGTTCATATTTTTGGTTGTACACAAAGTAGAGTCACACCATTCATGTCTTCATACATGTACTTAGGGTAATGATGTCCATCTYATTACACGTCTTTCCTACCCCCATGACCCCTCCCTCCCCTTTGCCCTATCTAAAGTTCATTTATTTCTCCCATCACCCCACCCCCACCCCCATTATGACTCAGCATCCTTAAATCAGAGAAAACATTCAGCATTTGGTTTTTTGGGACTGGATAACTTCACTTAGCATTATATTCTCCAACTCCATTCATTTACCTGCAAATGCCATGATTTTATTCTCTTTTAATGCTGAATAATATTCCATTGTGTGTATATGCCACATTTTCTTTATCCACTCATCTACTGAAAGGCATCTAGGTTGGTTGCACATTTTAGCTATTGTGAATTGTGCTCCTATAAACATTGATGTGGCTGTGTCCCTGTAGTATGCGGTTTTTAAGTCCTTTGGATATAGACCGAGGAGTAGGATAGCTGAGAGACAGACATTTTTAAATTCGTTAATAAAAGATTGTTGGAAGGTAGTGGAAATTTTACACACTAGAAAATTAACCACCATGAAGATAAAACCATTTTCAAAGAACATGTTAGACCTCTAGATATATCCCAAAGGTTCTAGGACTGTCCTGATTTCAAAAACTCTGAGCCATGTTTCCATAGATACTGCCGTAACTGTCACATCACACATCCCAATTTTGGGTCCAGGATATCAGGTCATCTTACCTGATAGACGCTTATATTTGCTTGTGGACCACAGCTTAGGCATGTGTACACACACACACACACACACACACACACACACAGAGTTCCTTCTCCTCCCTACAGACTGACCATCACTTGGAGGGACAGAGCTGAGTGCCGAAACTTGGGGTGGGTCAGGAGTTGGCCTGACCCTTTCTTCCCTCTGGACAATACTAAACCCTGTTTCTCTGCTCTAGGGAAAGGTGAAGAATCATACCCAGACCTTCTGGCTCTGGTGATTGCTGTCATTGTGACCATCATTGTCGCTCTGGGGGTGAAGAATTCCGTGGGCTTCAACAACGTGCTCAATGTGCTGAACCTGGCAGTGTGGGTGTTCATCATGATCGCAGGCCTCTTCTTCATCAATGGAAAGTACTGGGCGGAAGGCCAGTTCTTGCCCCATGGCTGGTCAGGGGTGAGTTCATTCCTAAAGCCCTGTAGATGCTGTCTGTCTTCCACCCTGAGATCCGTCTAAGACATATTTTCAAGAAAATGCTGCTCTGTTCCCTAATTCTCATGGCACCTCTTCATCCTTATAATCTGAATTTAATTGGAATGTTCTGAAGAAATGGCTTTTTTTTWAAAAAAGTATTTGTTTCACAAACATCTGTCATGATTCTATTCTATACAAATAATAATAATGACCCCCATGTGGCCACTTGCAATATGCCGAACATGGTGCAAAGTACTCTGCATTTGATATTTCATTTCATCATCCCAATAATCTCAAAAGGAAAGTATTTACAGTCAGGTCAAAGAATACACACTTGGAGAGCTGGGGTTGTGACTCAGTGGTAGAGTGCTTGCCTAGCATGTGTAAGGCACTGGGTTCGATTCTCAGTACCACTTATAAATAAATAAAGGTCCATCAACAAGTAAAAAAAAWTTTTTAAAGATACACATTTTAAAAAGAAAACATGCTTGGAGAAGACAAAGGACTTGCTATTAAGCACACTGTGTAAGTGGCAGAATCAGGACCCAAAACCAGGACTGTGGACTCCAAAGCCTGTACAAGAACAGCTCAGTTCTCTAGAAGTCTGTTCCAGTCTACTAAGACAAACAGGCACCTAAATAAATAGAAAAGGCAGTAAAGGAAGCCAGGGAGAGTGGACACAAAAGGGAAGGATGAGGTTTGCCTTGGTATAAAACTGGGCAAAGGACAGTTTTTAATCCAGTCCCAACATTTGACCTGCTGAGAGTCTGAGGGCATTTGAGCTGGCTCAGGGGAGGGCTGGTTGTAAATTCCATTCCAGAGGCATGGTTCACAGCAGAGAAATCTACCTAATGTTGTCAGGGAGTTGGCAAGAGAGCAGGCTAGACCAAAGGACATTTTCAGGTCTCATCCCCATGATCTGGTGGTGTGGTTTATGTTAAACCCAAATGAGAAGGTCAGAGTGGCAAATTCCTTACAATGACAGGTGGTTCTAAGTTGTGTCTGGCTTCTTTCTCTAGTATAACTAAAAATGCTCATTTTGGGATTTATTGGTAAAATTCACAAGCTTTTTTTTTTTTTTTTGATGGTAGAACATAAATCCTCTAGAGAATTTTCAGCTGGCAGGAATCTTAGAGATCCTCTGGTCCTATTCCCTCATCTGACAAAAGAATGAATAACCAGAGGCCAAGAGAGAAGAGTCTGCTTAGTTCTGGGGGCAAAAATGCAAGTCCAAGAGTCTACTGGCTTTGCTTGTGTAGCTTTTGCTTAAACTGGTTTCCCTCCAAGATGTCCAGGGATCCGAAATCACTCTTGGAGAACACTCAAAATAACTTCTGTTTATTCTGAACTGTGCCATGCTGTTCAATGCAGAGAAACAAGCAAGAGGTAATTTAAGTCAAAATTTCTATCTTTGTGCTTATCTATAAGAATTCCGAAGAACCACCAAGTTCATCACTCCCTTCTGAAATGAAAAAACAATGAAACTGGTTAAAACCAGAAGAAGAGACAAAGAAATACTGTTGACCCTATTCTGCATTTCCACATCTTTATTTTCTTATGATACAAATTGTTCCCTTCCTATCACATAAAAGAAACAACAAAATATAAAAGTGAAAAGAGAGAATGTTTTCCTGGAATTCAATTGCGTTTTTTTCTTATAGTTCATGAAAATATTCTCACCATTTTCTTAACAATATAAGAAATTATCGGGTCATGGATTTCGTACAAGACTTTGGCATCAGTTAACCTTCGTGCTCCTGGTATTCTTCTCTTCATATCAGCAGAAAAACAAATTGCACCAAATGCTTTCAAACAAGAACAAAACCTTAGCTGTTTTTATGCGTACATTCTTGCAGTTACAAATAGTTATGGTGGTGAGGGGAAAGAGCTGGCACTTTACTCACTACCCTGTTGAATGATGGCATCACACTTTTGAATATTATCTCTCTTATAATAATACTTCAAAGTGGGTGATGTTAGCCCCAACTTAAAAGCAGAGAATGTAGGGTGCAGAGAAACTCACCCCTGACCAGCTGTGGGGCAGCCTACGTGGAGTAACCTACCTGATCTCACTTAGCCAGTCAGTTCCAGGACTAAAGTTCTCGCCCAGTTCTGTGTGACTCCCAAGCTCTTTTCTACTTTATCAAGTACCTTGCTGTAAGCCTTCTTAAAAACAAAATAAAATAATAAGGTAATTCATGTGGCATGTTATATTTCTTTTTAAATTTTCACAAAGTCTTGGAATCTTGGAGCTGGGAGGAACATTAAAAGATAATCGGGCTCTTTTCTTGCCAGAGTCCTCCTAATGGCTCACCTGCATGGCGCACACTGTAGCTCAGGCCCCAGGCAAAGTAGAAAGAGTTCATATCCTCTGTGAAAAAGCTCTTTCCACACTCAAAAGAAGATTAAACAAGACTTGTAGGCTTTTCTTTCCCCTGGTGCTTTGTTCTGGGGTCTTGATCTTCTTTTGAGGTCCCTTCTTCCCTTCTCAGGGGCTCCACAGCCCTCCTCCATTAAGGACCACCTTGTCAAGGAAGKAGTAATCAAGTCAGCCTTAGGGGTCCCTCGTCCTGAGGTTCCCACCAGCTTCTGTACCAAGGGAAGATCAGAATTTAGGCATAAAAAAGAAAAGAAGTCAGACTTTCCTACCGTTTTCCATTTTCTGTGTGATAAACTCTTTCATATATACTTTTCATTTAATCTTCATAAGAGCCCTATAAAATAAGTATGACCATCTCCACTCTTAGACCAAAATAACGGGTTTTAAAAATTGAAGATCACAGATCTGGACTCTAATAGAGGAAAATCCAATCCCCATCCTGGATGAGCCAACGCCCATATTTACTCCACTGCCCCACCCCAGGTTTGGACCTGTGGGACCCATTGTCTTTTTTTTGCACCTTGGTTACCACCTCCTCCAACACACACCTACTATCTTCAGTCGACTTGTCATTATCACCAAAAAAGTTTAACTGGGATTTTGGATTTTCAGCGCCAATCCATTATCCCTGAGGGGAACTCAAGTGAACGTCCTAGTGACTGTGACTAAAGTCTCATCTGAGGCCGAGGCCCAGCCCAGTGTGAAGACATTGCTGACTCATCCTCTCTGCTCTCTGCTTGGCCTTGGATTGCTACAGAGTACATTTCCTCCCTAGTATGTGGGCCTGGCCCTATTCTTTCTCAACTTTGGTTTCAGGTCACTTTTCCAGTCCAGCAAGGCCCCTGTGAATTTAAATCCTATTTTTGAAGGTCTCCTCTCATGAGCATATTACCCACTGAGGTAGTAAACACATTTCCGATTCTTACCTAACAAATATCAACAAAAGTGTATTTCCTACTTAGCAGCTGCAGGAACTCTTCATTCCTTTGGGAAACCCTGACCCCTACTGCTGACTGGGAGACAAATGCAGAGTTCCAATCTACTTGGGGTAGGATGGACTGGGGATCACCATTTTTCGGGCCATCATTTGTAAGGATGCATTTGTAAGGATGACATTAAACATAATTCTCCAGAACATCAAAAGGGTTAAGGAACAGCCAGTCCTCACAAGCCTGCTAGTTCCCCTGCTCCAATTGCTTCCTTCCAAAGAAAATAGCTTAAGGAATGGTTTACTCACTTGCAGGTCTGGGTCAAATGCTTCTTGGGTCTTGAAGAGCTGAAGAACAACAAACATTTTCCCCTATATCAAGTAACTCCAGCCCTGAGCTGAACCCCGGCTTCCATCTGCAATTTCTCATCCCCTGAAAATTGTTGGATATGTGTTCCCTTTATGTTATTTGTTCTTGATGCTATCTTACAGTTTTTATTTCACCACGTAAGATACTCTACCAGCACAAATAGCTCCCAGGAAAATGGTCTGCAGCAAGCATGTGTGGGGAATTCTGACAACCTCCCAAACAAAGAGAAAGTTGTTTCTCATGTTCCCCACATCTGAATCCATTTGTGGGAACCTATTAGCACATTCCAGTGTCACGGTGGATGGGCTGCTAATAGAGCTGGGGCTGAAAAATGCTATTAAAGTGGGAATTTGTCTTGTACCTTGGGAGTGAATTATGTAAAGGTGCCTAATTGTCTCCCAGGCATCTGGCAGACTGGCCATGACAGAATATAAGAGGCCACCGAATCCTAATGCCTCTCAAATATCATCAAGGCACGGGAGCCTGCTTTCAAGGACCCCACACACTGAGTAGCAGGCCACTGTGACATTGTTTTTTTACAACTAGGTAAGCCACAGCCTTCCAGCAACTGAGGCACATGCTGCTTCCCTACAAAGCTCTCAGAGGCATGGACCCATTCTGGATTACCTGGCTTACTTTGGAAAACAACTTCAGTTTTGCCATCAAATTTAAAAGTCAATACAATTTCTAAATTATGTAAAATGCTAAAGGAAAGAATTAGGATAAAGCACCAATAACCCCAGAAACACATACACATGCGCGCTCGCGCGTGCGCGTGCGTGCACACACACACACACACCACTTTACTCACCAATTTTATTCCCAGATGCTCACTCCCAGGGAACCTCACATATTCTTTCATGCATGTAAAGGTATCCTAATCATAAACGGACAGATAGGAGAGCTGGAGAGAGTGAAGTAGAAAACAGTTTTAGTGATTATTTGGGTAGAGATGCACCTACACAGTTTCATTTCATGACTCTTTTATATTTACCATTTGCAGGGAAGAAAAACTCATTTGAATTAGCTCAAGTACAAAGGCAACCTTTTGCCAATTTTTTCTTCCCTTTGATAATCTGTTTATTTAATCTGTGTCTCGATTAGCCAGGTGTGCTTGACCTTGGCAGCTGTGCTGGTCTTTGCCCCTTTGCTTCCACTGCCCAGGTCCATTCTCCACCCCTCATGCTCTGTCCTGTGCTCCAGAAGACTCCTGCTCATTGCTTCCTGTTGGGTTTAGCCAGTGGAAGATGTTATCAGGTGAGCAGAAGATGAGAAGAGGAAAAGGCCAGGGGATTTCTTCCTCACTCCCTCCCAGCCCTGAAACCACACTGGCAGTCCCTGTTCTACCTCTCCAGCTCCCCGTGGCATCCAGGAACATCCTTCTACCCTGCCTCTGGGCTTAGGGATTATACCATCTTACTATTGCTTCAACATCCCAAGTTGGTCCTTAACCCTGCCCTACTGGTTCATATCCACCTATASTTCCTTCTTTAATGTCATTTCATTTGAATCATCTGAGTTAAATTCTGTTGACTGCCTAATGCAGGAAAACCTCCAGATGTCCTAACTTTGTTCAGTTTTTCTTCAACTCTAATTGCTTTTCATATTCCATATATGCAAATTCAGTCTCATATACATCCTCTTTATAAACATTCTCTCTCTTCCCAGCTTGATAATACTTAATTTTCTGGTATCTAATCGTTATCAATAATTGCCATCCATTCTTTCATTCATCTGGAAAATAAAAGCATTTATGTTTTCCAAATAATGTAAATACCTAATAATATTTTCCAGTTTGTTATTACAGTCAAGTTTGCATTTAGGTTCTTGCAGACTCCAAATAGTCCAGACTTCAAATCTCCCAAGGTCACGTTCAGAGTACTTTTGGCTCATGACTTTATCACTATTACCAAACACAGTGCCTGACACATGGCAGCGCTCTCTCTCTTTCTCTCTCTCTCTCTCTCTCTCCCTCCCTACCTACCTCTCTCCCTCTCTCTCTCTGTATATATGGAGAGAGAGAGAGTTCTAAATGAAAGAGAGTAGAATAAGAAGAGGAGGAGAAAGAAAAAGATAGGAGGAGAAGGAATTTGTTCTCTTGGGTTTTATCTGCTCTAGAAAAATTTACAATAGTAATTATAGTAATGGTGGTAAAAGTAAATATTCAATGAAATTAAACTATGTGTTATTATTATCTCCCTTTTAGTGATAAAGAAACTTAAGGAATAAGAGGTTAGGAATCTGTTCTATATCATCAAGCTAATATGTGGCAGAACCAGCCTAGGTCTGACAGTCTACAAGGTCTACTGTTCGAATAAACACAAATCCACAAATTCATTGCTCTGGAGTCCCCTCTGGAGCCTACAGGGCACCTCCACCTCAGCTGTGATACTTCCGGTACTTCAGAAATTTGTAGGTATCCATGCTTTCTACAGAGCCTCCCGCTCTTCAGGTTACACATCCCTGGGTCCCCCATTATGCCTCATGTATTGTGGTTCATAGACCTCTTGCCTTTTTCTAAGGATATTATTCAAATTCACCTGCTACTGTGCCAGGTACCATGTGATTTACAAGAGTGGGATGTGCCCATGGCTGASTGTCTGCCTGTCTTCCTCTGTGGAAGGGAAGAAAGATGCTAAAGGAAAGGAAAGCAAGACCTGTTTTCTGGAAGCTGTCTTAAAGTGAGGCTTGGCTTGCTCAGGATAACCTCGTGAGCCTGCAATCCCATCATCTGTTCATCCTTGAACACCAGTGATGTGTTCTAGACAAGTGAAAGCCAGCACCATTTCAAGACTGTGAATCTCCCTGGATAGGGAGGTGAAATCTGTTTTATCTCCTTGTCTGTCAGCCAAATCCACTTTCCATACCCTGACATGAAGGGTTTTTCAGGAGGCAAAGTAGTTCTCTTGCTTCCCAGAAAGTAGCACCCGCAAGATGGAACCACTTATGTTTGGGAAGTTGTTTTTGCCTGACTTATTAGAATAGACAGGAGTTCTTAAATTTTTGTGCCATAGACCCCTTTGCAGTTTGATGAGGCGTATGGACACCTTATGAAAATTAGGATTTTCAATGAAGAACCCAATTATGCAGTAATTCGAGGTAAATCAATCATATTGATATAGAGTAATAAATATTTTTAATTGTGATATAATAACAATGTGCTTCTTAATTAGTGCTTTAAATACTAATATCTATTATTATATCAGATTGTTATTGGTGACAGAAATCACAGGTACTCTGAGTCACCTGCATTCATGGTGGAAAGAAATGCTAATATCCAGTTGGAAATTATTGAAAATAAAAATATAACTCTTTCCCAGCAGAGCCCCTAAATGTCCCTGGCCTGAGGGTAAGAACCCCTAGCTAGGCTAGGGATGGAAACATTAGAATCTCAGTTGGGAGGGACTGTAGAAGATACTAGCTCATTTTACAGATGAGCAAAGGTTGCTTTTGAAGGTTTAAGAAGCTCTTCAATTTTTTGATATACCTTGTAGGTTCTAGTATCCAGTATCTTGGTTTTTCCATATGAAGAAGTTAGTGTGTAAGGTAAGAGCAAAAATTTTAGACAAGCACCTGCTCGGCTTTGAATGACATCATTTATAAGTTGAATGTAGAGAAAAAGCAGGGGAAATATTCCAGTCTACAAGGGACCTCACTTCCTGGACCCCTCTAGAGGTTGCAGCTTGTCCCCTCATAGTCACACAAGTCCAAAAAAAAAATCTCTCATCTTCCCCTACAAGATCCTCCAAGTATCCAGAGGAAGATTTTTTACTTCCAGCTAATAATGAAAATACTGAGATGGGGAAACCTCATTTAAATTTCAATAGATTCTTTAGAAGGAAGTCACACACTCCTCAGTGGAAAATTTTCACTGACGTCTTAACATAGACCCCACCACCCTTGGAGGCTCACAGGCTCTGGCAGACAGACATGCAGCAGATGTGGCTGAATGCCCACTCCCCAGCTTCACTCTGACCTCCTGCCTCCTGCCCAGCTAGGTCAATTAAACCTCCATAAGGAATAGAAAATCAAACTTCTGTCTCTACTATTTTCCCTTTGAAGGCAACAGAACATCTAAAGGTCTGAAAATCTTTTATATCATTTCAGATCTGGAAGTTACTCACAGAGATCATCTATCAGGAACACTAACGTGACATGGGGCAGGAAAATTCTTCTTTGTGCAGAAGTACCTGAGTCCCCTCCACTAAATGTCAGAAGCTCCCTCCCTCACCAAACATCCTTAAGCCACATAGCCCATGGCTGTGGTTGAGAACTGTTGGAGGAAAATAAAAGCTAATGAGTTCCCTAAGACATAGATACCCAATATACTGATTTACTGATATACTCCTACTTGCTTCCAAAAAAGGATTCAAATGTGTTAAATGATCCAATTTTTATTTGGCCATAAAAAATTCTTATCTCCATTTAACACCTGAGGAAATTGCTCAGTCACACAGAGAGAAAGCAGAGGAGACCAGAACTTGGGTGTTCAGTGCCAGCTCTACCATGTTACTCCCTCCTCTACTCAGTGACTTCTGCAGGACATTGGGCCACTGTGGGCACCACATTGAAGGCCCTGGTGCTGCCCTAAACTCCTGAGCCTGACAGATGCCATGATCCCTACAGGTGCTGCAAGGAGCGGCCACATGTTTCTACGCTTTCATTGGCTTTGACATCATTGCCACCACCGGAGAGGAAGCCAAGAATCCCAACACGTCCATCCCTTACGCTATCACTGCCTCCCTGGTCATCTGCTTGACAGCCTACGTGTCTGTGAGTACCAAATGTTGAATGGACCCTTCTCCTGGACTTTTTATATTTAACCTGAAAATGTGGCTCTAGGACTGTGTCCCCTCCTCTGTCAGGGAGTAGGCCTTGCCTTCTGCCTTCTGGGCATTTGGATGCCAAGATGTCAAGAAGAAACTCAGGACTCCCCTCAGGAGAGGAGCAGCCCCAGGCCCTTTCGGCCTTCACCTCTGGAGTCCCCCACCCTCATCCCCCGCTACACCCAGGCTCGCAGTTCCTGCCGCTGTCCCAGGGCATGGTGTGCAGGGAGTGGGCTGCCGTCCAAGGAGCTCAGGTCATAGGCTGGCAGTAACGGGTGGTGTGTGAGCAGAGCCACTGTGGCCTCTGTGCACAGCCCTCAATGCTCCTCTGTCTACTGGGAGCTTCCCGGCAGCAAAGAGGCGAGGCTCCCGCCATGGGGAGAGAGAATCCATTGTCCTCTGGAGACTCTCTTCCCCTTCATCCTAGGGTGGGGGAGATGCAATTTCTTTCGTCTATTGCCCCATCTTTTCACACTAGCTCAAATCCATCCTTGGGGTTTCCCTGCCTAAGGTGGCTCTCAGAGTAAAGCCCTCAGCCTCCTTTCTCAGGACCCCTGAGATGGTCCTCGTACACCTTTGATGTTTCATCTTTCAGCTCCCACTTCCAATTTTTATCACAGAAATGTCCAATATCCCCTCAGCGCCTGGCAACAGAGAGAGCCTGATGGCTGCTGAGCTGTCAAGTGTGGGGTCACACAAATGCTCCAACGTCCTGAGGGTCCTACTGACTTGGGTCATGATTAGGAAAGAGCTAGCAGCTGGGGGTGCAGCATGCCAGCACTGCCATTCCTCATTCAAAAAAAAAAAATCATCTTTAGCAACCAACTAAGGAAGTCTGACCTATTCATGGTTAAGGCAATCTGCAAAACAGGATTGTCCTAGAAGCCAAACAAAAACAGAAGAGCATCCTTAGATTTGGTTGAGAGCAATTTAGTTGCCCAGACAAATGTTTTATGCATGGGTCAATTTATCACCTCCCTCTATACACACAGGTGCAAGTAGCTTCATCCTATCTGCACTTTAATTATTCCTGAGGGCAGAATATTGAGGGAGGSGTGGCAGGGTAGTAGGGGCAGCAGAGACACCCTGCTCTACATTTGCTTTCTGCCCCTTCCTCATGCATCCCCTTCTCCAGAACGGTCCTTGGCATCACACACACAACAAAGCCAATACTCACAGTTCCTTTCTTAGAAGAGCAACGTTATAGACTACAGAACGAGTCTCTGCCTCTACCAAATTTTTGCTCATCCTGATCTAACATGGCCAGGAGACTCCATGTGCCTTGCTGTAATCCAACCCTACCCCATCCCCAAAGGGAATGTAGCAAGTGGTGGTATCCCTGGGAAGCATTCTATTTTAGACTATGTGGGCTTTAGCTTTGCCTCGGGAGCTGCTTGCTCTTGTACTGGTCAGCAGACCCACTATGGTAAAACCCAAATTGCTAGACTATGATGATACATCTTGCTATCTTCCCTGGTATCTCATATTTTCACTAGAGGATCTTGGCTCCTGGGGACCTGGCAAAGAAACCGTCTACCTATGACTACCCTCTCCCTTTCAGGCTTTGAACTCCCTTAGTTCAGGATTGGTCTTCACAGGCCTGAGGGAACTCATATCTGATCTCTGACCAGTGGCTCCATTTTGTTGAGCCAATTCTGAAAGACCAATGTCCTGGCAGATCTATGCCATGTGAAGGAAGATAGGTCCTGGAGCCCCCAGCCAATTATTCCCTGGTTAAGCAAAGCCATAGTGGTCTTACCAGGGTAGGACTGGATTCCATCTTGATGCCATAATGTCTTCCTTGGCCTTCATGACCCCCAGAACTGAGCTAGAGAGAGGAAATGGAAATATGAGTTTTCATTGTGGTCCCATTTGTTAATTGGTTATGGGCCTCCTAGGAGCTTACCTTTGGAGTTTTGATCTTGGGTGTTTGGAGTAAAAGGAATACAGATAAGGAATACAGAGGCTGAATAACTGATCTAAAATAAAGCCACATGCCAATCAGTGGTAGATCCAAACTGCTGTGCAAGGCTCTGCCTTCAGGTCAGAGGACCTCTTCTCCTGCAGGCCATCTACCATGCTGTCAGTTCCTCCACCTCCAGCCRTATCTTCTCTTCTTTTCACAGGTGAGCATGATCTTAACTCTGATGGTGCCATATTACGCCATTGACACAGAATCCCCACTCATGGAGATGTTTGTGGCTCACGGTTTCTATGCTGCAAAATTTGTAGTAGCTATTGGGTCGGTTGCAGGACTGACAGTCAGCTTGCTGGGCTCCCTCTTCCCAATGCCAAGGGTCATTTATGCCATGGCTGGTGATGGTCTCCTTTTCAGGTAAGGGCTATGCTCTGTGAAATGTCCTCTGCTGTCCTGTGTCTTTCAAGGAAGACTGTCACCCACTGTCAACTGGACAGAATTTTGATAAGTGCTTTTCACATACACTGTGGACCTTGTTATATATCCTGAGAGAGAGTTTGAGTCTAAAGAGCTCAGGCCCTAAAACAGTCCCTCAGAGTGACTCAGGGTCCCTCAGTCTGGTACTAACTGGTACTAATGGACCTGTTCCCTCACCTGCCCTTCTCTCTTTGACATTGTATCCCCCTTGTGAAGATGGTGAGTGTCAAATCACTATACAAAGGACTAGAGGAAAGGGTGTGGGTGGGGCTCCAAAGGGAAGAACCTGCCCAGGGGACATTTTAGACCTGCCCTCATATTGAGACCAGCTGCCTGTCCCTATCTTCACAACTCCACTGAAGTTAAAAAAAAAATCAACAATCAGAAAGAAGATAAAACCCTCACAACAGAATCTAGTAACTGTAGCAACAATAGCTACTATTGTTGGACTTTCCCAGGTGCTTTGTGTATAGTATCCCATTTAGTTCTCACAACAACKCTGTTTTGCAGGTGGGCATACTAGGAATTAGAGAGGTTAAAAAACAAATCTCACCTCAAATCTCTGATTCACTGAGTGGCAGGCTAGGATTTGAACCCAGAACTTTCTAACTCCCAAAGCCAAACTCTTAACTACTAACATATAGATAGTTCTAGTCCCCTACATTGGCAATGAATTGGCCTATCTGCCCAGGGTATAAAGGGATGTGGCCCTGTCACTTGGTCCCCAGGCCCACCATGGGAAGCCAAGGAATTCTCAGGAGTGCAGACAGAGCTGCCCCAGGGACTTTATCTCTACCACCAACTGTCATCTGCTCCATGTATGGGTTGGTAAGCAGATCAAGAAGGGCTTACCAAAGACCAAATGTTGTCTAACATGCTGAAGTTAATATGGGGGGAGACGGAATAATAGAAGTTCATTGGATTAGACAAAGGGGAATGAAGGGAATGGGAGGATGAGGATGGGAAAGACAGTAGACTGAATCAGACATAATTTTTCTATGTTCCTGTATGAATACACAACCAGTGTAATTCCACACCATGTACAATCATAAGAATGGGAAGTCATACTCCATGTATTTATAATATGTCAAAATACATTCTACTATCATGTATAACTAAAAAGAACAAATTAAGGGGCTGGGRCTGGGGCTCAGCAGTAGCACACTTGCCTGGCATGTGAGAGGCACTGGGTTTGATTCTCAGCACCACATATAAATAAATAAAATAAAGGTCTATCAATGACTTAAAATTTTTTTTAAAAAAAGAACAAATTWAAAAATAATGATAATAAAGAAAGAAAAGAAAAAGAAGAAGAAGGGCTTTCATTGATGGAGGAGTGAACATGTCACACATCCAAAATGTTTTTATGCTGTCAAAGAAAACAAAGAGGGAAGATGCAAGGACTTTGGGCAAATTTATAGTTCTGTGTGAATCATGAAAATAAGGGAGAAATGACAGAGAATGAAGGAGGCAGGACCAGGAGGAGAGAGAGGAAGAGGGAGCCTCCTTCATCCTATAGGAACTGCAACAGAAGTGCCTGTCATTGATGGTCCTGTTGGTCTTCTCTTCTTTAGGGAGTAACTAGCTAAACTTGAACCTGTATCWCTGAGCACAGGTTCTTGATTATTGTGCTATTTGTCCAGCTACACTTCTGTACTTTTATTGCAAGRCAGTGTTTCTCAAGCTCTAGAACCCTTTAGATGTCTTTTAAAGARCAATTTGCTGTGCACCACCCTGAGAGATTCTGAGGTAGCAGATCTTGGTTAAAACCTGACAATATCTACTTCTAACAAGCTAAAGGTGATGCTGATGCTGCAAACCCACAGGTTTGGGGGATTCCCAAGCAGTTGCATGACTTCCTCTAACCATCCCTTTTTCCCAGCAAAGCCTTGGGCTCTAATTTAGATCTCCCCAGACCTCCTAGATTCCATCAGCCTTCTTTGTCTCATAGTGAATAGAAAATTTAATGAAGACATTTGCCTTAAAATCAAGGAACTAAAGTGAATTCTCTCTAAATGACACTCCAGGACCCAACCCATAACGTAGAAATAGCAATTAGAATTAAGGCAGTGTGCACAAGTAAATTGGAAGGGCAGGAGGAGGAGCTAACCACACAAACCTACAAACACTCTGGTCCCCTACATTGGCCATGTTAGAATCAGTCACCACCTGTGTGGCATGCCATTAACTCTCCGCTTGCTCCTCTGCTGCAGGTTCCTGGCTCACGTAAGCTCCTACACAGAGACTCCAGTGGTGGCCTGCATTGTGTCAGGGTTCCTGGCAGCTCTGCTCTCGCTGCTGGTGAGCCTGAGAGACCTGATAGAGATGATGTCCATCGGCACACTCCTTGCCTACACCTTGGTCTCCGTCTGTGTCTTGCTCCTTCGATACCAACCTGAGAGTGACATTGATGGTTTTGTCAAGTTTTTGTCTGAGGAGCACACCAAGAAGAAGGAGGGCATTCTGGCTGAATGTGAGAAGGAAACTTGTTCTCCTGTGAGTGAAGGGGAAGAGTTTTCCAGCCCGGCCACCAATACATGTGGGGCCAAAAACCTTCCATCTTTGGGAGACAATGAGATGCTCATTGGGAAATCAGACAAGTCCACCTACAATGTCAACCACCCCAACTATGGCACCGTGGACATGACCACAGGCATAGAAGCTGATGAATCTGAAAACATTTATCTCATCAAGTTGAAGAAGCTGATTGGGCCCCGTTACTACACCTTGAGAATCCGACTGGGCCTTCCAGGCAAGATGGACCGGCCCACAGCAGCAACAGGGCACACGGTGACCATCTGCGTGCTCCTGCTCTTCATCCTCATGTTCATCTTCTGCTCCTTCATCATCTTTGGTTCTGACTACATCTCAGAGCAGAGCTGGTGGGCCATCCTTCTGGTTGTTCTGATGGTGCTGCTGATCAGCGCCCTGGTGTTTGTGATCCTGCAGCAGCCAGAGAACCCCAAGAAGCTGCCCTACATGGCACCTTGCCTCCCCTTTGTGCCTGCCTTTGCCATGCTGGTGAACATCTATCTCATGCTAAAGCTCTCCACCATCACATGGATCCGGTTTGCGGTCTGGTGCTTTGTGGGTAAGCAACTTCCCCTGGAGCCTTTTTTTAAGGTCTTGAACAGGCTTATCCCAAAATTACCTCCTAACTGGACTAGACACCTCCATTCTTAGAGAAATCTGGCTGGTTCTATGGACCCTTGCTTGCTTGCTTGCTTTCCCCCCGCCCCCTCTTTTATCTCTCTTGCTTCCACATATGACCCTTGGCTTTCTGAATGTGGCTTATTTCACTTAACATCATGCTTTCAAGTACCATCATTTTCCTGAAAATGACATAATTTCATTCTTCTTTATGACTGAATACAAGTCCACTGGGTATGTAGACCACATTTTCTTTTTCCATTCATCTGTTGATGGAGACACCTAGACTGGTTCCATAATTTGGCTTATGTGAATTATGCTACTATAATCATGAGTATGCATGTGTTAATTCTTTAGGATATATTCTGAGGAGAGGTATAGCTGGGTCAAATGGTGATTCCATTCCTAATCTTTTGAGGAAGCTTCATACCGATTTCCACAGCAGTTATACTAATTTACAACACCACTAACAACGTTGCCCTGATATCCTTTCCAGCAACTGTTATTTTTTGTATTCTCGCTGGCTGCCATTGTAACTGGAGTAAAATGAAATCTCAGTGTAGTTTTAATCTGCATCTCCCTAATTGCTAAAGATGTTGGAAATTTTTTCATATATTTGTTGACCATTTGTATTTCTTCTTTTGAGAAGTGTCTGTTTAGTTTATTTGTCCACTTATTAATTGGATTATTGGGGGGTTAGAGGCTTTTTGAGTTTTTTATATATATTCTGGATATTAATCCCCTGTCAGAGAGTAGCTAGCAAAGATTTTCTCCCATTCTGTAGGCTTCTCTTCACACTCTTTATTGTTTCCTTTGCTATGCAAAAGCTTTGTAATTTGATTCCATCCCACTTATTGATTCTTGGTTTAATTTCTTTTTTAATATTTTTAGTTGTAAATGGACACAATTTCTTTCTTTCTTTCTTTCTTTCTTTCTTTCTTTCTTTCTTTCTTTCTTTCTTTCTTTCTTTCTTAACATGGTGCTGAGAATCAAACCCAGTACCTCATATGTGAAGGCAAGCACTCCACCCTGAGCCACAACCCCAGCCCTTGGTGTTTGTTTGTTTGTTTTAATTTTGTTGTTGTTGTTGTTGTTTGTAGATGGATACTTTTATTCTATTTATTTATTTGTTTTTATGTGGTGCAGAGGATCAAACCCAGTGCCTCGAACATGCTAATAAAGTGCTCTACCACTGAGCTACAACCCCAGCCCCCCAGCCCTTGGTTTTATTTCTTGAGTATTAGGGGTCTTATCAAGGAAGTCAATGCCTGYGCTAATATTTTGGTGGGTTTGCCCTGTGGTTTCTTCTAGAAGTTGCAGTATTTCTAGTCTAATTCCTAGTTCTTTGATCCACTCTGAGTTCAGGGTGAAAGATATGGACTAATCTCTCCCTCTACATATGCATAATCAGTTTTCCCACCATCATTTATTTAAAAGACTGTCTTTTCTCCAACATATGGTTTTGGCACCTTAGTCTCTGTGTCTTCTATTCTGTATCACTGGCCTATGTGTCTGTTTTTATGCCAGTACCGTGCAATTTTTGTTACTACAGCTCTGTAGTATAATTTGAAGTCAGGTATTGTGGATGCCTTCAGCATTTATTTTTGTTTTTAATTAGTTTGGCCATTCTGGGTTTCTTATTCTTCCAAATGAATTTTAGAACTGTTTTTATCTGTGAAAAACTGAACCCTTGCTCTCTGCATTAGAATCAAGAAAGCCAATTGTCCCCTTCCTTCCTGCTTGGTTCTGGAAGAATAATGCTGATCAACCCTGATGGAATTAGTGAATAGTGAATGACTGAAGTTTTTGTGCAAGGATAATTAGTGTCAGAAAAAAAAATTGCTTAAAATAAATACACTTTTTAAAAGAGAGGAGGGGGATTGGGGTTGAGGCTCAGAGGTAGAGCACTCGCCTAGCACATACRAAGCCCTGGGTTGATCCTCAGCACTACATTAAAATAAATAAATTAAATAGAGGTATTGTGTCCACCTACAACTAAAAAATAAATATTTAAAAAAAATAAAAGAGGGGAGGGACAAAAATAGCATAGAAACGAGAAAGAGGAAGAGTTTGCTTGGAATTCTGCTGTAAAAAATAAAAATGGTGAAGGGTCTGGGGTTGTGGCTCAGTGGTAGAGCTCTTGCCTAGCTGGGTTCCATCCCCAGCAGCACATAGAAAAACTAAATAAACAAAATAAAGGTATTGTGTCCATCTATAAATAAAAATGTTTTTTAAAAAATTTTAAAGAAAATTAAAATGGTGAAACAAAAAATTATGAAAAAAATTTGTTTCTCATTTGGCAAAATTAAATGAGAAAAACAATCATACTCTGGTTTTTAAAATGAACAAAGTATGGATTAAATGTGGATTTGAGGGCATTATTTTTCTGACAATATTGCTATCATGGTACCATTTAACAGCCTTCACTTCATTCTGACTTTAGTAGAATATTCAAGATCTTTTCATTTCTTCCCCCAAGATATTTTCTTCATCCTTGGATATTCCAACCATTCCCTTGGAGAGTGTCCACCACACCATCATCCTCGTTGATTGTCTCTATTTTGTTGTTAATAACTAATATGACTCTCTTAGATCAACTGTTCATAGCTTTACATATGAATTCAACTTGTTCTCTAAATTCACTTTCATTGACATCAAGGTCTTACCTCTTCTGAAATTTCAAATTTTACTTCTGATCAATTTGTATTATATTTGCATTAYAAATTTTTCATATCTAACAATTGCTAATGTTTATGAGAAAGTCAGAGATTGAATTCATGGTAACTTGAGAGGGATAACTAAAAGAAGCCTAATTTTTTTTGCTTCTTATTTATTTTTTTATTAGTTGTTCAAAACATTACAAAGCTCTTGACATATTATATTTCATACATTTGATTCAAACAGATTATCAAGCCTAATTTTAAAGTTCCTTATTTAACTCTTTTTTATGTCCCTTGAATAGCTTCTTTGATAACAAATACTTAGCTAAGGAGGATCCTTCAGAGCTTATAGAAAAGCAATAGATTAAATATCTCCCTGCAAAGRGCAAGACAATCCTGAATCAACCATCCTGGCCAAGGGAACAGAACTCCTTCCTATTCATTAGCAACTTGTCCACTGCTTTAGGCCAGGGTACTGGTGTTCAGCATGTGTCCTGTATGCCTGGAACAGTGCCTATGCTGTGTGCTTAAGAAATATGTCTTCATTATTATACAGTACTTTGCAAATGGGGGGAAAAGGAACTTCAAGTTAGAACAGTCAAAAAGGACTTTGAAGAGGTAGAATTTGAACAGGGAYTGTGATGTAAGATTTAGGTAGAAGAAAGTGGGGTAAAACGCAGCAGTCAAAGGAAATGGCAYGGATCTTCAAGCAGATTCCTTGCCTCTGCAGGCCACTCTGTGCCTTCCTGTTTGTATTTTGTCCCAATCTTTCACTGCTCTAAKTCTCATCCCTTGTTAGACTTAAGGAGATATTCTTGAGAGGACTCCACTGATTCATCARTATTTTCACCATTTATATTATTTACTTACAATCTCTCATCTCTGTTTAAATACTTTGCCACTGGAACATGTAGCTAACCAATGGAAAGATTTTATTCTGGGGAGAAGTGACCAAAGTGGGTAGAAATATTTCAGTCATGAATATGTCAAGTGAAAGAAGATACACATTCCCTCATTTACAGATSATTAAAGCTGGAGGGGCTTCCATTGCTAGCACAGTGCCACCCACAGCGTGGTGCCCATCCCATTTGTAATATTTCAGCTGGTTTTAGAGAGACATTAAATGAACTTTCTAGAATATTCCATAGTCCTAGATTTTCACATGTATTAAAAAAAATCACACATACACATGAATCTGGAGTTTCACAGATAGTTTTGCTTAGGACAAAACTATAGATGATTTTTTAACTTAAAAAGCAAATCATGTTTTTTTTTTAAAAAAAAGCATTTGTACTAGTAGTACTAGTAAAGGTGCCATATGATTTATAGTAACAATACTAATAAGCATGTATCACACATCACCCATCATTCTAAAAGCTTTATTAGTGAATTCATTTACTCATCTTACATATTTAGTCTCACCGTCTTAATTTTACAGACTAAGAAACTGAGGCACTTGCCTGAGATCACTTAACTAAAGTCAAGATTAAAACTCAGGAAGGGTTGGTCCAGAGTCCATGGTCATAACCACTATATTAAAAATGTGGCATATAAATAACTARAGTTGGGGAGACACTAATGTAGTCCACTACCTCCCTACCCTGCCCTCTATGGGCTTAAAAAGAGTAAACCAAAGCTCTAAGAAATTCGATAGCATGCATGGCAACAGGAAGTTATTTGAAGGGCTGTTACTAGAATCCAATATGCTCACACTCAGCTGTGGGGCTTCTCTAAGCACCTAAAAGAAGCCTAATTTTAAAATTCCTTATTAACTTTTTTTATGTCCCTTACATAGCTTCTTTTTTTATATCCCTTACATAGTAGACTTTCTTATTTGATCAAAATATTTAGTGGAGGCCGGGGATATAGCTCAGTTGGTAGAGTGCTTGCCTCACATGTAYAAGGTCCTGGGTTTGATCCTCAGCACCACCAAAAAAAAAAAAAAATGTTTGGTGGGGATTGACACTTAGCATCAGGATCAGCTTTGTGGGCATACAACCTGTGCACAACCTCCTGAGCTTGGTTTAAAGCTCTGCTGTCGCTGTTGCATCTTGAATTCCTTATACTTTCTGAACAAGAGTCCTCATATGTTCATTTTTCACAAATCTATAACTGATTCTGCATAGCTATGGTTTCTGGAGCATCAGAGACATTTTGCAAAACTGGGAAGGTGGCAGGGGCCCTCGCTTTTGGAATTAGCATTAGTTTCAAACAATAAAAAAAAAAAAAAAAAAAAAAGCCCCACTACCTCCTGTCTTATGACTTTGAGAAATTCACCTAA